GTTGTGTGGTTTTCTACAGTTGCTTTTGGGGTAATGTTTGTAAGTTATGGGATGTATGCTTGGTTGGCATTGACTTTGCCAGTGAGGTTAGGGGAAGGCATTCGGATGGGTAACTGAAGTGTTACTCGTAAATTGAACAAAAAAATAAATTTGATTTGATTTTAATGATTTTTAAATTTTATGTTTTAGTTTTAATATTAGCCGAATAAATATTAACTTAGTTTTGATTAAATTTTTTACAAATTAAAAATTAAAAATGAACTTCTTGAAAACTAAAATTTAAATAAATTTAATAAATTATAAAATAAAATATAATTTATTATTAAAAAAAATTAATTAATATTTATTATTTAATAAATTAAAATTAATTTATAAATTAATATTTTTAGATACCATAATTAATTATTTTAAAAAATTAAAAACTAAAAAATCTAAAATATTAATCAAACTAAACATCTTTATGGGTTTTTTTACCCACCCCTAAGTGAAGTTGCATTTGGGTTCAGTGGCGGAGCCACATGTAGATCAGGGGCTGGTTTTTCTTTCTTTTTTGGTGGAAGAAGAAGTACATTAAATGAACGAGGGACACCTTTCCGAGGGTTGATGAGAGGTCTACAACACCTATTAATGATAAAGACAAAGACGGACGAAGACTTAGACTTCCCTAAGTCAGCTCTCCGCGGTCTAAAGTCCTTTTGATGGGAACCATACGGAAACATAATTTATATTAGGGGCCCGAGTCAAGTCATGATATAAAAGCACATTAATTTATATTTTTTTATTTAATATATTATATAATATATTTATTAAAAATTATTATTTAAAATATAAATTAAAAATAAATTAATTAAAAAATTAATTATATACATGACATATAAAAATTAATTATATTTATATTATATATATATTTTGAACATTTAATCATGAGGTCGACTCGAATCGTTATCCTCGAGAAGGGGGACATGAACCTTATAAGAGTGGCTAAAACCACTTGACCCACAGGGTCAGGTTCATATTTTTATTATATTTAATAATTAAATTGAATAAGTATTGAATCAAAAGTTATATCAATAATTTTCTTAACATAAAAGAATATAAGGGTACATATACCAATGTTCGTTTATTATTTACATATACATATACTAATAATTTAATTATTAAAAATAATTAATAAAATAATTAATATTTATTATTTAATAAATTAAAATTAATTTATAAATTAATATTTTTAGATACTA